TAAAGAGTGTAAGGATTGAAGGAAAGAGATTGAACAACTGGCTTGAGAAATGGAGGGAGACTGAGTCTCCACATATGAAGATTGGGCTCTGAAGGATGGATTGAGCTGAAAATTGCCTAAGCAACTACTATATGTCAACTTCCTACCCCCATACTAAGAATTTAAAAAGCTTAATTATATTCTCATCTTAAAAATGGAAGATTCCACAGAGAACAATAAACAATGTGAAATATTTAATGCAAATATTTCATATATTTTTAACTGTTGGGCTAAAAATATAAATCAAAGATAGTGATGGTTCACACAGTTAATAAATATTTTAGTCCTCTGACTCAGTCCTTGGTTTTAAAGAAGAAATCTTACTTGTGTACCTCAAAGATTACTGTATTGCACACAGGAAGTTAGTTCATTGGATTTCTTTTTTTTTGTTAGTTGTATGAAGCTGTAATTTTCCTTATATATTTCAAAGAAAAGTACACAATAGACCTTTATAAAATGATGCTTTTACTAGTAGAAGAAAAGATAGTTAATTAACAGGGCTAAAATTACTGGAAACCTTCTCTGTGTTTTTACCCAAACAGAACTTTGATTTGATTTGATTTCTATAGCCATTCATCTCAACAAATGACTCTAGGCGGCATACATCATCAAACATAGAAACAATAAAAAATAAATTAAAAGAACATGATTTACTTTCCACAAGTTTACCAAAGCCATTAGTAATGCACGGGTGAGTTATGAAAGTGGAAAATTAAGATCCAATCAAGATATTAAGAAAAAGTGGGAGGCCTCCCTCTACTGGATAAAAATGCCACTGATTTCACTCTTATGCATAAGTTCTACTAAATAAAAATAGGATTTTTTTTTCATGAATAAAATTAGTCTCTACCAATTTTTCTTAGTATATTTTTATATAATACAATTATAACAGCATCACATTCTTTCTATATAGAAATTTCAATAATAATAATAATAATAATAATAATAATAATAATAATAATAAAAAAAGTGTGGATCATCGACATTGCCATACTGGTGACAGCATAATCGACAAGAAACAGCTTGAAAAAGTCACCAGATATCAGGACTTGAGAATCGAACTACCAAGACTCTGACATAAACCAGTGTAGGTGGTTCCAGTGGTACTCAGCACACTGGGTGCTGTGCCTAAAGACCTAGGCAAGCACTTAAAAATAATTGGTGCTGACAAGATCACCAATGGTCAGCTGCAGAAGGCCACCTTACTGGGATCTGCTCGCAAAATCTGCCAATACATCAAGCAGTCCTAAACACTTGGGAAGTGTTTGACCAGTGATTTGTGATACGAAACCCAGCAGAGTTATCTTGTTTGCTGTGTATACTGTCATTTTTGTGTAGAATAATAATAATAATAATAATAATAATAATAATAATAATAATAATAATAATAATAATAATGATGATGATGATGTCTACATCAGGCATGTGTGATATAGTCCACAAAAAAGAATGTTGTAATGTTTTAATTCTTCTACTAAGCTGTGTCTTTTGATTTCTCTGTCTTGTTTGTGCTGCTAGAAACATATCAACAACCACTGCAAGAGGCAAATATTTTTTGTAAGATATGCATTTACCTAGATAAAAAGGGGGCATGATTATTTTGGTCTTTCATATCTTGTTTTTATATATCTTTTTCCCCTTCTGATTGTTTTTGGAGTTGAATTATTATGGTAACTTTAACTATATAAAAGTTTACTGATCTGATGTATGTATGTTGTATATATAATTACACACACACACACACACACACACACACACACAATACACATTGACATATTTTTTACTCTTGTCTCCTTTCTACATTACTCATAGCAGTAATGCATTACTAATTGGTTTGATTAAGAGATACTGTAGTTGGACAGATTAAACCTTATCAAGCAATTAACTCTAATCTATTTCCACAAATTAGATATCAACATTTGCCAATCTCAAATTTATGTGACACGGCTTCTCTGAAATCCAGAAACCTAATTCTAGAGGCTCCACATCCCAGAGAAGTCTATGGGAATGGTGATTTACATTGATATCATTTCTACCTGTAGATGTTGCATTTAATGCCCAACCTAATTGCATACCTTTTAAGACAGGACCATCAGCATAGCTTCACTAACCCCTAACTGAAAAAAAACATGTAGAGAGAGAGAGCCACTATCAATTATAGTTTTCTTTACAGATCCTTTGGACTCATTGTAGAAAAATGACATATAAAACATTGAATTTGGTGTTTTATTTTAAACTTTCTAAATCCTAAATGTTTTCCATTTGGCTGATCAGGAAACATAACAATAAAGCTATTTCTTTTGAGAAAGATTTGAGGACCTCCTACAAGGAATATATCTACTGTACAATGCATTCATAATCAGAAAGACGTTTGAAGAATACAACCGGTAACTGCCTTCTATATTTCTTTGATTATGCTTCTGTGCAGGTATATATGAATCTTTACAATCATTCTGAATTAGAGGAATTAATAAAACTTCATGTAAAAGTAAGAGCTATTTTATAAGAAGTGGCAGTGTAACACTCTCCATACCTGGATATAATAGTTAGCAATTACAGAGTAACACCACTTCTTTTTGATAACAGCCTTCTTTTTCCTTTCTTGTTTTGTGGGGAAAGCAGTTTTCCTCTTTAATCTTGGACAGGGAGAAAATCAATTTACTCTCTAAACAGAGCTAGGTGTTTATAAGGCAGTCTGTTGGGGAAAATCTTTATTGGAAAGGTGGGAGGTATACATAATGTACGTGACTGGGTTATCATTTCCTTCAATTGCTCTGGGTTTGTATAGGGGGAAAAGCACAATCCTAGTAGGAAAGCATTTTGTATAAGGTGCAAATGGGAAAGAAAGGGAGAAACAGTAGGGGAGAAGTCAGAAAGCTGGGGTGGCACACAAAGGAAGGACTGGGTGACACAGAAACGAGAAAGTCAGTAATGTGCATTGTTGTAAACCCACATCTAATTTCCCATTCTGGGATGCCGGCTTGGCATGACAGCAAATGATGATCACTGATTTGCCCTTTGCTGCTGCTGATCAGGAGTGCCAGGAGGGCTTGTAAAGCAGGTCATAGTCTCTTATAGTCATAGTATCCCTTCATCATTAGAACACAACTCTTATAGTATCTCTTCATCATTAGAAGAATTCAGGAAAACCAAGATTCATGCTTGCTAACATGCGTTCTACATTTATTAGAAAAATATTAGAAGCAGTTTGGCATGGTAGTTACAGAGATAGGCAGATCACAGAAGAAAGTAATATCTGGAGTCTTACCACTCTGCAGTTTTTCTTAAGAAAAGCATATACGTAGATATTCCTGTTCATAATTTCTCAGTGACTTGATGAATAGTAAAAATCTGGTTGGTATGCTTCCTCCTGCACTGCACTTCATAAATCTTTCTCGTTATCACCTCTTGCATTGTTTCAGACAAAATTCTGCCTAATAAGTTCTCAAGAACACTAAACAAATTCCCTCTGTAATTGTTACAGTCATTCTTGTTACCTTTTCCTAAGATAAGGCAACAATAAGAGCATTTTTTAATCATTAGGCAAGGATCCATTCCTCACACAAATTACATATCTACCCTACAACCAAACCACGTTAGCAGTTGAACATGTATTCAATTACACCATCTATATCTATGGCCTCATCATCTACCGTATTCTCAGAACAATTCTATCCATTTTTTCTTGGTCACTAATATTTATAGCATCAGGGGTGCAAGTTGTTCTGCAGCATGTATTCTATCTCCTAGATTCTGGAATCCAGGCAACAATACACTGGCTAGCAAGTTGTCTCTACATAACAAATCCTAACTTGAATAGCATTTAATAACTGGAACTTTTGGGGATAAAACTGAACATTGGTTGTGTTTGTGGCATAGTATCAAAAATGTCCCCACACCGCCTAGTCCCATTAGTAGGAAAAGCTGTGTATGGTATGGATATGATTAAGGCTGGTAACTATGTCTATTCCTTCTCTATATTACTGTATACCTCCATATCATTGCTGAAAATTTCCAGAATATTTTCTTTTACAAAAGAGTTTGTTAGACTGCTTATAATTTCATTGGAAAATTGTTTATGTGGTGGGTTTTGAGCTCACATTTTACTGCAAGGCTGTAAAGCACATTGGAGCATTTTATACTTAGTTGTTTTTCTTGCTACATCACTTCAGCATCCTGTAGCCTCTCTACTTATTCATCTTCATGCTCTACAAAATCCCCAGTGGGGGAATTCTTTCCAACATTTGGATTTAATTGGAAGATGTGGGAATCCAGGAGGGTTTCACAATATTGGCAGGATGGCTCTCTGAAAGATGAAAGGCAAGACCAATCGCAATTCCCTACACCTTGTTAGCCTGCCTGATAAGATCATGCAAACAACCTATGTGCAATCTTATGGAAATTTCACTTTTTTTATTTCATTTTTGGAATGTTTTTTTCAATAAAATTAATGTAAATAATTTTTACTACAGGAAAATATCAGGAAACTTTCATCCATTGCATTTTCCATTTTGCATGTGATGCACAGTTTGCCATTAAATTGTTACAGGTGGTGATGAAGATTCAAATAGTAACAGCTCTTGGAAGTTTTAAGAGCTGGACCCCTTCTCTGTTTATTGAACAAAAGTAGATTATCTGAAGACCTCAGCCTGGAGTACCCTTAACATTCATCACTAATTGTAATTTTCCTACTCCAATCAACTCAAGGAGCCTGGTTCACAAGGAAGTGTATATAAAATTATCTCAGAAATTATTTATAATCACATGAATCAGACATATATCACACCACATACAATGGACCCTTATTAAATAGGGTTAGAATCACAACCTTCAATGTACAATGATTAATAGAACATCAGAGTTCTGGATCACGGGAATTGTTGGTTCCTTTGGAACCTGGACAGGCAACATTTTAGAACTAGCAATAGATTTGTTTTACTATAATGTTTTCATAGCAGGAGGATACAGAGAACTGAATATAATTATAGTCATAACTGTAAGTGTAATGCATTCTATTTTTTGCTTATCTCCAGTAAGATGGGAGTCATATCTCAGATATTTGTTTATCACTTTGGCAATGTCATCAGAGCAGGGGACAGGCTCCCAGGGTTGCAAAAAAGAGAGTTGATACCTCCCATGGCTGAACATTCATTCTCCTTTGTTTGATTCTTACTCTCCTTCTGTGATGACCAAACGTTCTACCATCATCCCAGTGCCAAAGAAGCCCTCCATCAAGGAACTGAATGACTACAGACCAGTTGTTCTAACATCTGTAGTTATGAAAATCTTTGAAAGGCTTGTGCTGTCCCACCTGAAAACCATCATGGATCTGCTGTTAGATCCCATGCAGTTTGCATACCGAGCAAATAGATCGACAGATGATGCTGTTAACATGGCTCTACATTACATCCTACAACACCTTGAATCTCCAAATACCTACGCAAGGGTCCTCTTTGTAGACTTGAGTTCAGCATTCAATACCATCATTCCAGACACTCTTCTAAGTAAATTAAACCAACTAACAGTACCTGAACATATTTGTAAGTGGATCATAAGCTTCCTAACAGACAGGAAGCAGCAGGTGAAGCTAGGTGGAATCACATCCGATACCTGTACAATCAGTACAGGGCCCCCCCAAGGCTGTGTGCTATCTCCACTTCTCTTCTCCCTATATACCAATGACTGCATCTCAAACGATCCATCTGTTAAAATACTGAAGTTTGCTGATGACACAACAGTGATTAGTCTCATTCGAGACAATGATGAATCTGCATACAGACAGGAGGTTATACAACTTGTCTCGTGTTGTAACCGGAACAATCTGGAACTGAACACACTCAAAACAGTAGAAATGGTGGTAGACTTTAGAAGAAACCCTCCTATACTACCACCTCTTACAATACTAGACAACACAGTATCAACAGTAGAGACCTTCAAATTTCTAGGTTCTACTATATCACATGACCTAAAATGGATACCTAACATCAAAAACATCATCAAAAAAGCACAACAAAGAATGTTCTTTCTGCACCAACTCAGAAAGCTCAAACTGCCCAAAGAGCTGCTGATACAGTTCTACAGAGGATTATTGAGTCTATCATCTGCACCTCTATAACTGTCTGGTTTGGTTCTGCAACCCAACACGACAGACACAGACTTCAGAGGATAATTAGGACTGCAGAAAAAACAATTACTACCCACCTGCCTTCAATAGAGGACCTATATACTGCATGAGTCAAAAAGAGGGTTGTGAAAATATTTACAGACCCCCTCACATCCCGGACATAATCTGTTTCAACTCCTTCCCTCAAAACGACGCTATAGAGCACTGCACACCAGAACAACTAGACACAAGAACTGTTTTTTCCTGAATGCCATCACTCTGCTAAACAAATAATCCCCTCAACACTGTTCAACTATTTACAAAGTGTACACTACTATTACTGTTAATCTTCTCACCACTCCTTATCACCCATCCCCTCCCACTTGACTGTTTCCTAGTATGATTTGATTGTTGATTGCACCCTATGACTATCATTAAGTGTTGTATGTTGTGATTCTTGATTCTTAACGAATGTACCTTTTCTTTACGTATACTGAGAGTATTTACACCAAGACAAATTCCTTGTGTGTCCAATCACACTTGGCCAATAAAGTATTCTATTCTATTCTCTCTTCCTGGTCTCCACATTTGCTGGGTGAGTGATAAATAATTCTTTTCATGAATGTATATATATACTGCATATATATTTCCACTACTGGTTCTCCAGAACTGGTCAGAACCTGCTGAATACCACCTCTGCCCAGGCTCCTCCGATTCACTTCCATCTCCTTCCCTCCTTTGAGATTTCTTCCACCTGCATATAATTTGGAAGAAAATTGCAAGTTGTCCTTCTACACTCTTGATTTTCATCTTGGCTTGTCTCCCAGCATTTTGGTGCAGTTAAGTTCTAAGGGCTTTCTTTTTCCTGAATTGCTTATTTTTAACTGATGCTGCCAAGAATTATATGGATATAGTTGGGTGGCCTTGTAAACACTTGAAATAAATAAAATAAAATAATACTTTGTTCTTCTAGGTGCCATATTAACCATTATACACCATTTGTTGTAAGCTGTTCAGAATTATTTGACAGTGAGATAGATAGCATATAAATTTAATAAATAAAAATAAATAAATATTCAATAATAACATGGCTAAGAAGTTAATGCTTTCAAACTAGTAACAAGGAAGAAATACTCAGTTGTCCAAAGCCTCAGAACAGAGACTTAGCATCTCAAGGTCCAAAACAGGGGCCATCAAAACAAGAAACAGAGTGTAAACCCTTGCTCACTGATTGTTTTCAAACAGCCCAGAAAAAGAGACCTCCTGACAGTTTATTAGGGGTTTTAAACCTATTCTCAGATATCAGCAACAGCTAAGCAAAGCAAAGCAAAGCAATATCCCTTTACTTACTAACTCTCAATACTACTTCATTACCTCATTATCTCAAAAAATCAATTTCTTTAAAATAATTAATTTTTATCAAATGATTAATTGGTTTATTATTTTTATTGATTAGTATGACTGAGTGTTTAGTGCATATAGTGTAATTACTGAATATCTGATTAGTAAAATCAGTGATTTAGTGAATTTAATTGACCAGTGTGTTTAGTAATTACTGTAATAAATTAGGCTGTTTGTTTCTTAGAAAAATTATTTGATTAGAGTGATTTGAATAACCAATTGATTGATTGATTGATTTTTAGTAATAAGTACCTTACTTTTGATTTGTTCTGTAACATATCAATTAACATTTATTAATTACCAACATTCATTAAGTAACTGTCTACCTATCACATTAACTAGCTATTGTAATTGATTACTGTACTATTGCCATTGACCATGCCAGCCAAAAACTCCAAAGCAAAACAAAAGAAAAATATCTATACCAATGACCTCTCAGACTCCTGCATATGTTTCAGATGTCTTGAAACCATCAATGAAAGTGAAATTTACATCAAATGCCGCCTTTGCGATAATCTAGCCCACCCTGCCTGCTTAAACGCAAACAAAAGCCTAGCTGATATGGTTAAAAATTCAGATACATTCTTTTATCCATCATGTTCTCCTAAGCTAAACAAACTGAGTACCCTACCTGACAGAGTTGAAAGCATAGAATCACTCATTCACTCAATAGAAGAACACTTAGCAACACATTTTGAAACAACTATACAAGCAAGCCTAATCTCTCTTGAAAAAAAAATACAGCACAGATAATTGAGTACCTATCAGCTCAAAATCAAATCCCACAACAACCACAACCACTACCTCAACTACAATCACAACTACAACCAAAAATAACCACCAAACCATAGCCACAAACAATTACTATCCCTTTAAATAATTCCACAAATAATATCTCCTTACTCATCAGAGACACTATGGAACGTGAACAGAAACATCCAAATGCCATCTTATTTGGTCTCGAAGACACCAACAAATCAGACGACATCATCAAAGTTTGTGGCAACCTAAGCAACTCAAATACAACAAACATCTCTCCTGAAGATATCATTGAAATAACCAGAGATGGCCCTGAGTCCAAATACAATGATGGCTCTGTGGCCCCAAGATTTTGTAGAGTTGTATGCAAATATGAGTCCAGCAAACATATATTCATTCATACAATAAATGCCATTGCAAAAACCAATCCCAACCACAAAAATTTCACTCAAGACCAGACTTATCTATACTGCAAAGAATTCCCTCCTGCGGACTCTGCGCAGAACTCAAAAACCATCTAGACAATGGAGAAAAGGACCTATACATTGACTACAGAGGTGATTACATCAAAAGAAAGTCACACAACCCACAAATTCGCATCCAACCCCAACCCATCCAATCCAACATCACTCAAAACTAGGCATGCACGCCCCTAACTACCTCTATTCCAATCACAACTGGCCTTAAATGCAAACTACTCAATGCAAGAAGCCTTGTAAATAAAATACCTGAATTTCTCCTCTTACTAAATATGGCTAAATTTGACATCATATTTCTCTGTGAAACACGGCTCAATGCATCTCTCCCTGACCCCATTACCACAGTAAGAGACTATCATGTTTACCGATCAGATTGTGAAATCTGTAGAGGAGGTGGTGCTGCTTTCTTCTATAAAAAGTCCCTAAAAAACATCCAAGTTACTCAGGAACTTGCTATTCCTGAGATCATCATCTGTGAACTATCCTTAAATATCACATTTCGGTTTTTACTATGTTACAGAGTCCCTGATTATGACATCGAACATGCAAACAAGCTAAATTCACTACTAACATGGGCAGCATCCTGCCAACATGCTTTTATCTTTCTTGGTGACTTCAATCTACCTCATATTAACTGGAACCTTAACGAATGTACAACTGAACCCATACACACAACCTTCTACAATGCTGTTACAAATCTGAGTCTGGAACAATTAGTAACCAACAATACTAGACTAAACAACTACCTTGATCTCATCTTCTGTAAGAGTTTGAATTCAATTTACGGAATACAAATTAAAGAACCCTTTCCCAACAGTGACCACAGCATGATTGACTTTTGTCTCAACATACATCCACACAAAAATCAACACAACAATGTGATCCCCAAGTATAACTTCAAAAAAGGCAACTATGATCTTATAGACAACAACCTCTCATCCCTTGATTGGCAATTTCTATTCTCTGGATGCAATACTGTAGAAGTCCATTACAACATATTTTTACTTGAAGTCAAAAGAGTCATCAAACTATATGTACCATTAACAACTCCCAAAACCAGAAAAAACAAATTACCCATGACAATAAGAAAGCTTCAATCCAAAAAGAGATCACTTTGGCAGAAAAACAAATCTGGTCACGTTGCCAACTTCAAAAGCTGATTCAAAAATTTATGCCACCAGATAAAGACTGAATTGCACCAATTACCACATTAAACAAGAAGAAAACCTTCTATGCACCAATTCCACCCACGCTTTCTACACTTTTGTAAACAAGAAACTAAAAGACTCAAGGTCCACCCCACCATGAAAGGACCTAATGGTAAAGACTGCAGCAATGACACTATTAAAGCCAACCTCTTTAACACATTCTTTGACTTAGTATTTGTAAACAGCAATGGATCATGCCCAGTATTTCCTAGTTGAACCACAGACAACTACAATGATCTAATACATTTCGATTTTAAAGAAGACAATGTTGAAAAACCACTACACAATCTAAAACCATCTCTATCTATTGGATTGGATGGAATATGTGCCTACTTCTTAAAAAAGCTATCCACTACCATAGCTGAACCTCTAAGCATAAACTTTGAAAAATCTTTCAGGACCAGCTCCTTGCCTAACCTATGGTCACAAGCCACAGTCATCCCCATCTTCAAAAAGGGAGACCCCAGCCTAGTTGAAAATTACAGACCAATCTCTTTATGCTGCGTCACCTGTAAAGTCATGGAATCAATTATTAACCAATTCATCATCCTCCACTTAGAAACAAACAACTTACTCTCTAATAAACAATTTGGTTTCAGGAAAAAACTATCATGTAATCTGCAACTCTTACACTGCAAAAACATATGGACTACACAACTCAATCAGGGCAAAGCAATAGACACAATCTACATAGACTTCTGTAAAGCCTTTGATTCAGTGGTACATGATACACTACTCCTAAAACTAAAATCTTACGGTATCTCTGGACACCTGCATAACTGGATAGAAGCATTCCTGTCAAACAGACAACAAATGGTCAAAATTGGGAGCGTCTATCAACTTCTGTACCTGTCAACAGTGGTGAAAGTTGAGAAAGTCCAGAAATATTTCACAAGAAGAGTTCTCCACTCTTCTACTCATTGCAGAATACCTTATGCCACCAGACTCGAAATTCTAGACCTAGAAAACCTTGAATTATTCTGTCTTTGGTCCAATCTAAGTATGGTATATAAAATCATACATTGCAATGTCCTACCTGTCAATGAATACTTCAGCTTCAACCATAACAACACAAGAACAAACAATATATACAAATTCAAGGTTAACCGCACCAAACTTGATTGCAGGAAATACGACTTCAGCAACAGAGTGGTCAATGTCTGGAATATACCACCTGACTCTGTGGTTTCTTCCCCAAACCCCAAAAACTTTAACCTTAGACTGTCTACTATTGACCTCACCTTTCCTAAGATGTCTGTAGGGGGCGTGCATAAGTGCACCAATGTGCCTACCGTCCCTGTCCTATTGTTTCTTTTATTTTTATTTTTTATTTTTCTTATATATAGCCATGTATTCATAACTATGTTTTTACTTATGCCTATTATTTTGTAAGCAATTGACAAAAATAAATAAATAAACAAACAAACAAACAAATAAATAAATAAAATGTATCAGGACTTTTTTCCCTTTTGCTAAACCAGGCATGGGCATGGTCAGTGTATGATGCATCCGGCCAGAGGCCAGGAGTTTGACAGCCCGGGTCCAGAACAACAACAGCCAATGAATAAATAGGAAAAAGGTAGCATTTAGCAGCTGAAACTGAAATTCAATTCTATACTTAGTAACTCATGCCTACAACTAACTTGGCACAGCTTAGGGACTACCCTCTAGAGTATTTTCAAATAATTTTACTTTGGCTCCACTCTTCCAAATGCCAAGATTTTCCTATTAATAGGCCTTTGGAACTCTACTTTTTTTTTCCCAATTTGTAGATATAACCCAAGAAACAGAAAAATAAAAGATCTGTTCTTGTTCACATTCGAAAACTTGTAATGCAAAGTACATCATCCAAGATGCTTTGAACAATTTCTCACCCCACTCCATCCAATACGACAAATGGTTAGGATTGATGGGAATACTAATCGAGCACATCTAAAAGAGTCCAGTCTGGAGAAGCTGCTGTCATGCAGATACCCATCTCAATTTAAAACCACTCTTTCCAATTTGCCATTCTGCTATCCCCAGGAATTTCAAACTGATACTAGCTCTCTGATGTCAAAAACTTCTCTTAAATACACAAGCTTGATGAATATGTTAAGCCCATTTCTCTGTAATGGTTCATTCTTTTTAGTATGAGAGATATTAAATATCATATAGTATGTTACAGCAATACTCCTTGAATATGTTATGGAAAATACTAGTCCATGTGTTCTATCGGTTAATGGCAGAGTAAAGCTGGGAAAATCCATTTACAAATCTCTTTTCACTGGGTGACTCTGAATCTGTTATTCTTACTTTCAACCTGGCCTACCATGCAGATAGATTGGGAGGATTAAACTGGAGAAAAGAAAAGAATTATCCTTGCCTGCTTGAGTTTCTTGTATGATATAAAATTATTTGAAAAGACTAGAGGGATGATATAAATTAGATTACATCTACAAGAGATTCTAGAATGAAATGAAAGGTATAACTTAA